AGCCCGGGAGCGGGGCTGCCCCCGGCACCCCCGCCCGGGCCTTGGCCGAGGGACAGCGGCCGGGTGCGGTGCTGCGGGCCTGCCGCCCTGCCTCGCGCCGCCGCCGCGGGCACTGCTCGCAGGGCAAAGCCGCAGGTTTGTCCGCGGTTTTCTTCTTTAATGGCACGGGGCGGCAGGGCCCCCTCTCAGGCCGCACAGCACCGCACCGAGGAGCCTCCGGGGACTTCTTTGCAAGTCCGCCGAGCAGGTGAGGCTCCCCTGCCCTTCCCCTCGGGGCTCAGAGGCACCTCCCTCTCTCCCCCACCCTTCCCTCCCCTCCTCGCTCCGCTCCGCTGCTGCTTTCTCGGCTGTCCCGGGAGCTCGCAGCTGCTCGGGCCTCTCCAGCCGGGCTGCGTCGGAAGCGTCTGACAGCGGTGAGCAGGGGAGCGGGAGGGAGGGAGGACGGGACGTGTCTCTGAGCTGGGAGTGGGGATCCTTCGCTGCTTTGGGGTCTTGGAAAAGTCCTCGGAGGCGCCCAGCCTGCGCGCACCAGCGCGGGGAGGCTGGGAGGGATGTGCAGCCACCCTGCAGCACCCCGGTCTTTGCCAAGACCTGGATCTGCCCCTGGTGACTCTGTCTTCAAGGATGACAATAATCTGCTGATACAGTTTGGGAACTTTGGGCTAAGAGGTGCATTGCCTTCCATGTAGGTGGCTCTTTAAAAAAACATTTTTTCCCTCTACAGCTAATTGCATGTCATCTCAGGGGGGAATCCCTGGTCCCCAGCGTTTTGGCACAGCTAGGACATGCTTGTCCAGGTGCTGACTTTTCTCTTTCCAAAGTGGCTATGCAGTGCCTCAGCCAGCACCTACCATAGCACAGCCAACCCAGCCAGCCCTGAACCAGAATCAGCCTTTGGTTGTAGAAGTGATCTCCACGAAACCCCTGGAAATTCCAGCTCCCCCCAGCCTTCTCTTGGAATAGATCCTTGTTTCTACCCGAGATACTGATTCTTGGAGTTCCAGATACAAATGTCGAACATAGAGTGACTTTCATTATCAGTAAAACACGCTGATCTTTATCTAAAAACAAAATACATTTTAACAGAATATTATAGTGTACGCTAGAAATATCATGCAGCCTTGATAGGTGTTCTGTACCTAACTCCTAGTTTATGAATTTCATTTAAAAAAAACAAAACAGGAGCACTTTTCTCGAATAGATCTGACTCTGTCGTTTATTGTAATATATAATTCTGAAAGGATATGAGGGTGATGCTTATGTATCCTAAAGAAAGAAATGACAGACTAAATTCTCTCCTCATTTATATGTATCCAGTATTTCATTGAAAACTTACTGAATGTGGCCCATTTCGTTTAAAGGGCAATGACTATCCCTTGCAAAAATGGCATTGTCTTAATTAATAATTTAAATATTTCATAATAAATAATGTATATATACCAAGCAGTAATAGCAATCATCTTCTTTTCATTGTTCCACTCTTAAGGAAATATCAGTCTGTTTTAGTATGAATGAATCCTGACATGATTCTGGAAACTGGGCCAACATCATCATTGATTATGATGATAGAAAATGGGGAAAGGCAAAAAGATGCAAGATTACAATTCTTGAAACTCTCTTCATTGTACTATGGCCATAAAAGTTTGCACAGGGTCAAGATAAAGTTCCCAGGATAAAGGAAAATTCTATCATGATGAAAACCGCTGTTGCAATTCTTATTTATTAAGCTATTTTAGAAATTAATGTAGTAACCAATTTTTTCTAAGAATAACTAGAAAATTTCATTTTAAAAAGGTACACTTTCTGACTGATTTCCTTGACAGTATACTGGGCCTGATTACTTTTCATATTAAGGCTTCTGTGGCTCTAAATAAACATTTTATCACAGGATAAGGTGCAGTCATTCAGACATTTGTGTCTGTTGTCCTGCGATAAATCCTAAGAAGTCTCACAGGATAAGAAGTACTAACAATTTATGACAAAGTGCATATGAGTAGTTGTCTCAGGATTTCATCATTGAGTCAGATAAAAGCAGTGATGCATTCAGCTGCTCACTAAACCACATTTAGAAGGGTGATGCATATATGTGCCAATCCCAGGATATGTTTTTTCTGGGACAGCCATAGGCACAACTTGTCCAGGGACAAATGCAACATCTGTTCCTAGCCTATGAAACTGACATAGCATTAAGAAGTCTTGAATTAAGTAGAAATAGTCTTTTCGGGCTGTCTTCTGTATAGGAAGTTTCCATAACCAAAAGGAATGCATTATGATTTAATAATGTGGGGTTATGGCCACACCCCGCTGCATTTTTTCTTTAACATATGGGAAGCAAAAAGGTAACTCCGAGACACTTTGGGTCTCCATTTATTCCTGCCTAATGAGGAACAGAGAAATTGAGACTCACTACATCCAGAAAGCGTAATTCAGATGTTTATTTAAAACATTTAAGGGAAAAAAGGCTCCTTTTGGCTTAGTTTTTCAAATCCTTCACAACTTCTGTGTACACAGGCAGAAGATCAAATAGACCTAGACTGTCCTTGACGCATGCCTGTTCTTAAAAGCCTCCAAAAATGGAGATTCCTCCTGTTCCCGAAGTACCCTGTTCTGGTGTTTTACTACCCTTATGGCTGAAAAGTTTTTCTTAATATCTCATCTAAACCTTTATTGCAAATTGAGCTGATTTATTCTTGCTGTACCTGCAGTGGATACAGGAAATAATTTATCACCATCCTCTTTACAACAGTATTTTTCATATTGTAAGATTCAGCATGTCATTCCGTCTATCCCCCCGTTTTCTCTTTTCTAGACTTAACAAACTCACTCCTTCTCTCTGAACCTCTATCATTCTTGTTGCTGTCCCCTGGAATGTCTCCAGTTTGTCTACATCTTTCTCAAAGTGTAGTGCCCAAAACAGGACACAGTTCTTCAGTTGATGCCTCAAAGAGTGCTAAGTAGAGCAGAATAATTACCTCCTGTGTCTTACATACGACACTCTTGTTAATACACCACAAATGAGACTGGCCTTTTTTGCAACAACATCACACTGTTAACTCATTTAGTTTGTGATCATCTATATTCCTGGTAGCCCCTTTTCTGTAGTACTGTTGTCTAGTCAGTTACTCCCTATTTTTGCATGTGCACATTTCCTTTGGTTGTGTGTCTCTTCTTCCCAAATGTAGTACTTTGCACTTGTGCTAACGGAATTCCAGGTTTTTGATTTTCCCCTCGATTTACTGTCTGCAAATTCTATAAGTGTACTCTGTTGCATCTTCTATGTTAATAATATAATAAATGGAATATAAATGAATATAATAAATGGAAACATGCCCAGGACAGACCCCTTTGGTAGCTCAATTGAAATGCCATCCCAGTCTGACAGTGAACTACTCTTAATTTGGAATTTTCAATCCATTTCATACTCACCTTACCTTGATTTCATGTAGACCACATTTTCCTAGTTTGCTTATGGGAATGTTGTATGGGACAGCATCAAATATAGATGCAGATGTATTTGTTTGGCTGATACACATTTAATAAAAGTTCCCCTTTGTACTTCTTTTTTTTTTTTTTGTAACAAAATGTCAGGCAAATATCAGGTGTATTCATTGCTTCTAGAACATTTGTGCTGTTTTTTATGTTATCTTGGAGTGGCATTTTTTACCTGCTATTTTAAAAAGTGATTATAGTCATAAAAGTGACTTTGTAAACATCGCAATATCTTACTCAACAAACCTGCCCTCTAGTCCAGAGACCAATTTCTTTGTTCTACTGACAAAAATAATTTGTACAGTATTGGCTTTTACTTCTATTAGTGGTATCAAGTCAATAAAGCTACATCTGAGAAAATGAGCCAGCTTCTATTCTGACTTAAATACTGCTAACAGAACTGATATCCAAGTTCCAGTTGCAGTCAGATTTTTCTCTGAGTTATTCCTGTTCAGCACCTGAGAAGACAGAAATCAAACATACTGGAAATATAAAAAGCCCAATATGCTAATGGCCAAATTTTCAAAACAGTTCAACACCCATTGTGCTTATCGTGCCTTCCATTGTGACACTCAGGAAAGATGTCACACCAGCTGTGTATCCAACATGCTCAACAGTATTGAAAATTTGGCATCTTATTCTGGTCTCTAAAAAGGAAGACTTTTTTGAAAATCTGTGTGGGTCAGAGTTGGAAGACAATAGTATTGTGTAGGGATGCATGAGGCAGAATTTGGCCCACAGAATCTTTTCTAGTCCCTGTAATGCCAATTGTTAGGAAACACCATTTTTAATGAAAAATTAGTAAATTTGATCTCAGAGTAGCTGAGAAACAAAAATGGAACTGACTTTTAGCCATTCTTAGTCAATTTAAAAAATAGAATCACATTTTTGGGCCAGGTCCTTATCTAGGGCAAACGGGCTTAAAGATTCTGCCCATATAACAACAATTCATAAACCAGATATTTTTTCTTGCTGACAGACTGGCAGTTTTACTCCTGAATATCCTGGATTTTATTATAAATTACATACTTAATGTTATCATACTTTTTTCTCACAGAAGCATCACTTTTATAGGACATTTCCTTTAACACAATAAGGCAGGTGTATATGAAGCATTACAATTCTACTTCAGAGGAGCTCTACTTAGGTTTCTCTAAGTCTAATATGAATATGATGGTGTTTTGGAAGCCACTTTATTTAGTAAGCATACAGTTGAGTCTGCTATACTCAACAGAACTATCCTACATATTCCTAAAAGTTCTATGAGATTTCCACATCCCAGCTAGAATCATTAAAATAAATTAACAGAGCCATGAGCTAATGCCATTTTTATACAGTAGATAATGGCAGGATGGCCC